CTGTCGTGTTCTTGTGGTCAAGATGTCAGGGTTGTGAGAAGAGGAATTGAGGAAGTGGGGGCATGGTGTGGGACTGACGCCAGGTGGACCTCCTCCGTGGAGCTGGGAATAGCCAGTGCCGGGGCTCAAGCGTATGGCCTCGTCTGCATTGCTCCTGCTTCCTCTGCTGGAGCTGTGTGATAGACAGTTGGTCGGTGGGTTAGCTCCCTGGCCACCTTCAGCCAGTGACCCGTGCTCCATGCGGAGGAGGTTCCTGAGAAGGGCTGCCCAGTCATCCAGAGCCTGATCAGCAGGGATAAGGAAGTTCAAGTCAGGGTAGACTGCCGTCAGCCAGAGGGAGGGAAAGTGCAGAGGCTGAGGTCTGGGTGAGTGAAGCGAGTGGGGCCTGAGGTTTCCTGAAGCAGGACGGAAGCCAAGGGAAGGCTCTTGTTGGAGTGTGCATGCGTGTTCCAAGCGGGGAAGGCCCATCTCTTCCAAGTCTCTCTCTCTGCTGTTCTTAATGATAGCTGGCCGTGATACAGAGGAAGAAGGTAAATGGGACTCTCTTAAGTGGACAGTTAAGACCAACTGGTAATTTTATGTGACTTTTTTTCCATTTGATTGTTTTTGTTTTAAGATTTGCTTATTTATTTGAAAGGCAGAGTGGCAAAGAGAGCGAGAGACAGAGATCTTTCATTCTCCGGTTCACACCCCAAATGGCCGCAAAGGCCATTGATGGGCCAGGAACTTCTTCTGGGTCTTCCATGTGGCTGACCAGGGCCCAAGGATTTGGGTCACCTTCTGCTGTTTTCCCAAGTGCGTTGGCAGGAAGCTGGTTTGGGAGTAGGGTGGCTCGGACTTGAACCAGCACACTTAATCCGGGATACTTGTGCTGCAGGCCAGGTGGTAGCCTAAGTCCTATGCCATGATGCTGGCCCCATGGAAGGATAAAGGACTTCATGGTGCCTGATTCCTGCCACTCTTTCTGCTTGATGTCATTCTGTGAGCCTCCCCAATGCGGAAGACCTTCTGTCCTGGCCCATCCCTAACTATTGCAGCGGTTTGAGGAGTGAAGCAGTGGATGGGTGATCTCACTTTTCCTCTGTTTCTGCTTCTCTTTCACTCTGCCTTTCAAATAGGTAAGTTACGTTGTGAGAATGGACTCAAAGGAACTCCTGACATAATGGATGAATCTCAAGAACTTCAGACTAAGTGAAAGACTTATGACCTGATGTAGTATGACTCCTTTTATATGAAATGAGCTGCAGGGACACAGCAATAGACAGGAAATAGACTGATGATTGCAGAAGAGCTGGTGTCAGTGATTTTACAGCAGAATCAAATGTCTTAAAATTATTTTTTTATGTTGATTGCATCCATTGATAAAATTAGTAAAATTCATTGAGTTTTATACATGCGTGAATTTTGACACATGTGTCAATAAAAATGCCTCAGGCAGGACCTCAATACTTACAAGTATCTGTGTACTCCTTGGTTTTAAAAAAGAATGGGGCTCAAACTAGATGTTGATACGTCTAAATTTTTAAATTCTAGTTTGATTTTAAGGAAATTGAGGAATCTGATGAGAATAAAATTAGAATCAGTTTAAAAATAGTTTAGACTACTTTAGGTTTAGCTCCTAAACTGCAACCACTTATGAATTAATATTTTGACAAGATGTCTCATTTCATCTTTTTGTCGGTAAAATAAGAAAGCCTGAGCAGTTGGGAGAACTCTGATTTGGTTATATGATATAAGAGCTGAAGGCAGGATGGTTTTTCTCAGCCACTTAACCTTTCTGCCTTTTTTACCTCTGTACTTTGTTCTCACATGAGTAAGAAAAAAAAAAAAAAGAACAAAAGAGACAAATGGAGGGCCCGGCAGTGTGGCCTAGTGGTTAAATTCCTCGCCTTGAACGTGCTTGGACCCCATATGGGTGCTGGTTCATATCCCGGCAGCTCCACTTCCCATCCAGCTCCCTGCTTGTGGCCTGGGAGAGCAGTTGAGGACAGCCCAAACCTTTGGGACCCTGCACCCCTGTGGGAGACCTGGAGGAAGTTCCTGAATCCTGGCTCTGGATCAGCACAGCACCGGTCATTGCACTCACTTAGGAAGTGAATCATCAGATGGAAGATCTTTCTCTCTGTCTCTCCTCCTCTCTGTATATCTGATTTTGTAATAAGAATGAATAAGTCTTTTTAAAAAAGAGAGAGAGCCAAATGGAAACGTGCCCATCTCACATTAGAGCCCCTTTTTGGACATTTAGGTTGTTTCCTGCTTGGCTTGCTGAATAGTGAATGCTGGGTTGCATGAGTGAAGCACTGAACATCCCTTTGGAATACTTCCTAGATGGAATTTCTGAGTCAAAAGGGATGTTCTCTAAAATTGTTGATACATATTGCTCAGCCTAAATATGTATTGCTATATATATTGCTACCCTTGTACCATGCAGGAATGGAATGCTATCTATTTTTATTAAGTGTTAGTTTAACAATTAAAAGATTTTGACGTGTTCCAGCATATCTTCTACATCATGTGCAATGTGTCTGAGAAGATACAGACAGTACTTGGAGTGGTGATTTTAATCCTAGTCATGGATTAAAACTGGCTCACAGTGCAGAGGAAGTGACCAAGGCTGACTCTTGTGCCTTGGGAGGGTTCATTGAGTCACCACCAGGAAGAAGCAGTAGGAGTCTGGGATGGCCATGATCAGCTTCCTTCAAGTGTGTGGAGCGTGTCAGGTCAGGAGAAATGAGCGTCCTCTTCTTGAGGCTCTCAGGGCAGAATGAGCAACGGGAACAGTTGGATATTTCAGACGGCCAAGAGTCAAGCCCTTTTCCAATGAAACAGTGGGAGAGTAGATTGGATTATCTAGGAAGCTGACCCCCTTCTCTCTACATCCCTGGACACGTCCCAGCCAAGGGTCAAGTGTCATTTGGGAAAGGAAGCACGACGTCCGTGGAGAGAGTGCGGCGTAAGGATTTGATTGGGAGACCTCCAAGGAAATGACTCCAAGGCCATAACAACTTTAAAGACTGGAACCTAGTGCAAAGCCAGATGAAAGTGATCTGCAAACATCGTTTGTTCTCTTGTTTGTTAGAACCTGCAGGTAGCTACTGCACTTCTCAGCTCACAGCTTCTCCATTCAGCTCACCTGAACATGCCGCTCTTTGACACTGAGCTCTGTTACTCAGCAGCTGCTTTGGGAGATGCCTTGTTTATGGCCTCCCTTATTTCATCCTGTTTGCCAGCCATGAGTTTCTCAGCCCTTAACGCTCAGGCCTCTGGTAGAAAGTGGAGGGGGGATTTTTCACGTGCTTGTCTTGGTGAGGCTTTTCTTTGATTCTAATGTTACCTCCATTGTGTTAAAAGGTTTTTAACATTTTCATTGAGGAAATACCAGATATTTTAATTACATCTCTTCATGTGTTTTCATATATTTTTTTCTTTAAGTTGGTGTGGATAAGAAAAACAAACAAACAAAAACAAAAAAAACAAATGGGCCACCAACTCCACAGCAGTATTGGGAGGAGTTGCCCATTGGACTATACTGCTTTGCAGGCGATGAATTGCTAGCCTGACCCTCCCCTGCCCCATACGCCAGGGGCAGACTCTTGAGCTGCTCCTGAACTGAGTTGCCAAGGGGTATGGCTTCCTCCCGGGGAGGAAGAGCCTGCTGGCAGTGCACACTGTCCCATCTTTAACAAAGTGCTGGCCCCGTGACCAGGTTCTTTCCAAGCAGCTGCCTGTTGAGTCCTCAGGACGGCTCTCTACCAGAGGTGTTATCAGAGGCTAAGCAAATGGGCACTGGGCCTGCTAACAGCGGAGCCTTCTAGAGTCCCTGTGCCCTAGTCAAGAGACAGGACACTCAAGCCTCAGCTTGTCTACGGCTTGCACACCCTGCACTTCCTTGTACGTTACCTCCAGCCAACACGGTGGGGTCCCACCCCTCACCCGTGGATGACTTGCCAAGGCTTCCTTTAAGAAAGCTGCCAACGGTCTACATGACGGATGGGGAATGTCCAGTGTGCAGGCCGTGAAAGGGTTTAAGAAGTTGGTTGGTCTGTGCCTGCCAGGGCAACAAAGGTAGCACTCTAATGTCAAGAAAACAGGCTAATTTTTAAGTTGCTAGCTTTGGCCAGCAAATGATGTTATACGTATCCAAATCAAATGGTCCTTGGTAGAATAGTTCATGACCTACCCCTAGACAAATACCATTTTTCAGCATTCCCATCAAAATAGTTTCTGTGTGTGTCTGGGAAGCTTCAGTATTTTTGAGTGGAATCAAAAGAGTGACAGTTACTCATATCTAGTTCTGACCTTCCGTTTCTGAAGCCTTTATGATATACCATTTCTTACATTCTGCTTGGTAGGGGAAACAAATTCAAAGATAAAAAGGAATCTTAAATAATCGTCCCTTTTCCTGCCTGCCTTCCTCTTGCCTTCTTGGATGCTTAAGAATCAGACGGAGTTTGTGACGCTTAGCTCACGTCTGAAAATAATGACTTGTACTCAGGTAACTGACAACTTTGGAATGGCAGGATTCCAACTCTGTCCCGAACAGAAGGTGTCACGGAACATTCGGGAGGTGGGGGCAGCTGCAATTATACCACATTAAGAAATGTATCACCTGCAAAATCTTTTCTCACAAGGAAAGCAAAATTAACACAACAAATAGGATAAATTTGTATATCTCACCTTTACCTACCCAGCACCTGCTTGAAAGTCCAAGGTGGGCTTTAACAGTTAGGGCCCCTGGAAGCCCACCAAGTCTCCCCAGTACTTTCACTGGTTCTTCCTCTTGTTCTTTATGTCATAGCCATTCCTCTGCCATTTATTTGCTTGGTATTTTTTATTTCTAATTGGGGATCATCCTATTAAATTTTCTTTACTACTGACATGGGCTTATTTTGGATGAATGCGTAATCTGTTAAATGCATATGTACTTTGATTGGTTGGTGTTGTTTCTTTATAGCATCTGTCTGGGGAAATGACTAATTTCTCACATCCTGATTTTGCAGGACGAATTTTGAATCGTTTCTCCAAAGACATCGGACACATGGATGACTTGCTGCCCCTGACATTTTTAGATTTCATCCAGGTAATGTAACAGGCATGTCACATCCTCCAATGGGAGGCTGATGTCTGTGTTTTTCAAGGCCTTTTTGTGGGGAGTGGGGGACGAGGGCGGGGCCCCGTGATGTGTAATGTTACCTTATAAAAGGCCATGTTTATAGAAGTAAGGTGTGGCTGTCATTGGGCGGCTGGGTTGGCGTGAGTAATGCCTTGTGTGTGGGAGTGGCTACCCAGTCGTGTCAGAGTTGGTTCGAGGCAGCTAACATGCTGGAGTGGCTCTCCATCTGCCTCCCGGGGATCTGGCGTGCATTTCGCTTTACTGTGAACACATTTCATAATATAGAAACAATCACCGCTCACGGAAAGATAGCCTAGATTAACCAAATTATGCATTGTGTTACCACAAAGGGCAAATATTTACTGCACCGTTTTTTTGGGGATAAAACCAGGTGTGGTTCCTTACAAAGAAAAGATTAGTAATAATAAGGTGAAAATAATACTTTGTTAGCTGGGACAATGGGGAGCAGTTACAGCACACACAGAGCCTCTAAAAGCAAGCATGTTTAAGCCAATCATTTGAGTACAGGATCAAAGTCATCTCAGAAAATGTCTTTTTTGTTTTTCTAGGCAGCTTTTCTTTTCACACGTTGATTGCTCTGTCTTAAGATGAAAAAAAAAAAAAAAAAAGACAACCACCCCACAGAAATACCTTCTGCATAGAGCAGTGGTTTTGCCTGTGAACTTGAGGTTCTTAATAATAATGTCAGGTCGCCTCCTCTCTCAGCTCTTCATTCAGCTGTGTCGCCCTCGTGGCCCTATTTTTCTGTTGTTTAATTCTGTCTGCTTTGCAGCAGTTCAGACTGGAGAGCGTTCTTCTTTTCCGAATGTTTGTTTTAGAGGTGAAAGGCCTTTAAAACCTCTGCAGCTCTGGCTGACACTTCCTGAGTTTGAACCTTTTCCTTTTCCGCTTTCCCTGTGTGCCAGTTTGCAGGCATTTTGATCTTGAGCTGAATCGCTGGCCGGAAGTAGTCATGCCACAGTAGGGGGTCTGCAATCCTGGCCCCGGGGAGGGGAGGAGACCTCTCCCCCCACCCTCCCCATGGATGTTCCAATGCTTGTTATGGCAGGGCCTCCAGATCTCACTTGTGGAGCCATGTTCAAAGAAGAAGTCAGAAGGACTGAATTTGTAAAATGATCTCTGTGAGATAAGTTAGGGGCAGCCCTGAGATGATGACAGGAATTCCTGCAGGTCCCACACGAAGGTGGCCGTGAGTGACGGCAGGGAGCAGGCAGGTAGATGTTTACTGCACATGCAAGCCTCTGCTGCTCTGCTTACCCTTCTCTGCTGCAGCTGCAAACTTGCTTTCAAAATATGCCCTGCTGGGCCTGTCTGTGCCATTCCCCAGAAGCACCGTTTTACTTCCGGATGGGTTCATTTTTGACACAGGTTACAGATGGCTGTAAGAACGTGTTTCATGCCTGATTATGAAGTGCTTGGAGATTTCGTGAGAGGTTCTGTTTCTTGGGAGGTACCGTGCCCTCTGTGGCCCACCGTGTGCTCAGTAGGACGGGCCCTTCTCAGAAGGAGCCCACGTGGAGGTACAGGGATGCATGACTTGCTTTCACTGTTAACACATACTCAGCAGTGTGAGAAGTCTACCATCCTTACACTTTCTTTTAGCTGCAGAGACAAGGGTCTTTTTGTTGTTGTTAATATCTGTTCACATCTTCTCAGTAAACCTGTTGTTGAATGCTCCCTGGTCCCAATTAGCTGATTTCTTGGATGTTTTTGTCTACAAGAAAGGGCTTTTATGGAAAGGATAACTCAGTTATCAATTATGATAAAGACCTATTGTCACTTGTTTTGTTTGCAGGTGTCTTTAATAAGGCTTCCCCTAATCCCTTCAGGAAGAAATATTTTCTCCTTTTAAAAACTGCATTAGCTAAACAGAAAAGCTCTGATCCCTGCCATTGTTGCTGACTCTTTGAGAGACATCTCCCAACATTCATTGTTTAAATGGCTGTCAGGAGGAATCAAGTGAGACTTAGCCAGCAGTGCCACGGCTGGCTCGTCTTACTCTGTGGCCCGAGGTCTTCGCCAAGGGCCTGCGTTCGGATTTGACTGAGGTGTCACGCTGTCATTTGGATCATTTCGAAGTTTGGGGGCCTGTCACTGTAGCAGCCAGTGAAGGTTTCTGCGAAAGCCACAAAAGTGAATTTAACCTGCCCTGCAATAAAGGCTAATAAAAAATCTTAAGTGTAAATTGATTTTTTTTTTAAGTTGGATAGGACTGTGGAAGGCTGAAAACAACCTAGTAGTGTTCTGAGACTCTTAATGGAATCATGTAAACTTAAAATCAACACTATTATGGTAAGCACATAGAATGAAAACTAATTTTCCAAATCAAATACATTATATTCAATTCATTTTCCCCAATCAACCAAATGTTGAAAACCTGTTAGTTATAACAGCAATCTCCTGGAAATTAATTAGAAGCCTATTAGCTCTGCTAGCTGAGCCGAATGCAGGGGGTTGCTCGCTACATTGCTAAATAGTCTCCCAAATGACAGCGGGGCAAGGTCAGAATGAGAGCCTGGCTTTTTGCTTCTTCTCTTGGGAAGGGGGTGCAGAGTGGTAAGGGCGTCTGTGTCTCCAAGAAAAAAAATTTTTATCAACTTTGACCTTGTTGTCTCATAAAAGTTAAAACTGCACGTGCCAATCAGGTGGAACACACCGGTGGCGTGAGCATTCTTCGCCTGAGTGCTAGCTGCCGTCAGCAGCCGAGGCTCTGCCACGGAAATGACTGGCGCGAGGCCTCTTGTGGAGCTTCTCAGTTCTAAAAGATTTGGTTAGCCCCTTTCAGACGAGGTGCAGAAAATACCTGTCCACCTTTGGGTTTCATTTTGTTTCAAATGTCTCATCAATAGCAGTAGCAGCGAGCAATGCTTTTCTGTTTAGCTAATACTATTTTTGAAAGATGAAAATACTGCTCCTTCTGTTGAATCAGTCCTCAAAATAGCCTTGGCTGGACCAGGCCGAAGCCAGGAGCCCAGAGCGTAAGCCAGGTCTCCTCTGTGGGTAGCAGAAACCCAAACACTTGAATCATTACCTGCTATCTCCGAAGGTGCATTGGCAGGGAGCTGGATCAGGGTGGGACTGGACCGGCCCTGAGATACGGTGTTTGGGCATTCCGAGCAGTGTCTCAACAGGCTGTGTCACGATATCTTTCCTTCTGCCTTTGTTTCTGATGTTGTTTGCAGGATGCACTGCTGACATCAGAAGGTCCTGCGTTTGAATGTCTGTCATCAGACTATCGGTGAAAGCCATTAGCAGCTGCTCTCATTCCCAGAGAAATCTCCCGGAGTTAGGGCATTTATGCCCTAGGACTTGGGTTTGACGGAAGCAGTGGAGGGTTAGAAGCACTAAGACTTGCCCCGTTAGAAACCCCTTTGGTGTTTCCTGGTTTCTGACGGACAGGAATACCACACAGCTTCTCATAGTCTGAGTCCGAAGGTGCTTGGCAGCGTGTGTGTAGTGACAAATAGAAGGACGAACAAACTCCAGAGTCAGCTTTATAAAAGAGTCCACTCATGGGCATATTCAGACAAATGCTGCATTTCCCAAAGACAGCTATAGGCTCATGTTTTTCTGCAGAATTAAAATCGATCAGCTATAGAAGGAAGTAGTGGAATTACTTTTATTCATGTGACGTTTTAATCCAGAGGATGTGTGTCTGATAACTTCTTGTGTAAAATAAAGGTAATTTTGTGGATTTTTATGAGAGTTTAGAACCACGGACCATTGAGTTAGAATGGAGCTGTGTTTCTCACTGAGTCCAGGGTCGAGATATTGAGGAGAGAGCACAAAGAGCAGAGCCCTCCCTTGGTGGGGGGCAGCGGGCATCATGTAGAGGCTGTGTGCCCTGCAGAAGAAGATCAGAAACCAGAGACAAGGGTGGGTGTTTGGCCTAGTCCCCTTGTCCAAGTGCTTCGTTTGCTGCCCGTCTCAACTTCCACCTCGCTGCTACTCTAGACCCCGCTGGGCAGCTGGCTCAAGGGATCTCATTCTTGCCATCTACCTGGGAGACCTGGGTTGAGTGCCTTGGCTGGAGTGAGCCTTTAGGTAGTGAACCAATGGAAGAAAGTCCCCTCTCTTTGCATAACAAATAAGTACTAATCATTGAGCTGGGGATACTTTTTATGGTTGCACTGATGAAATGACTGGAATAAGGAAATTCTGCTTGAAAGATCAGTGGTTTTGCTGGTTATATGGAGGTCTTTGACCCAATGTGTTCTTCAGACTTTGGCAAGATTTGTGTTTGTGAACATCAACGAGGTTTTGGCTTTTGCATTGTTAGCGCCTTGGCTTCTGTGTAGGTGGCTACAGTGACACAGCTAATATTGAAAATGTACATCACACTACTTACTGTTCTTGTTTGTTGCTGTTCCGTGTTAGGTGGCGGATGTGGAGGGGCAGGGGTAACCTGTCTGTGGCATTTTTCACGTGGGTACTGGCATGGAACTATAGTGACTGGAATTGAAATTTTGATGGATAAGGCCATTTGCAAAGCTAGGCCTGGAATCCAGGGTCTTATTTAAATATCTGCATATCATAAGATTTAAATAAACCGTTTGGAAATCATGTGTGGAATACAAAGCAGCAGTGTGCAGATTACCTCAGGGTTGCTGTGGGCTTATCAGATACCTTGGCCAGGGGCTGCCAATACACATCTGGTTTATAATTGTTCAAACACGTTTTGTTTGTTTGCTTTGCTCAAAAAATGGTAACCATGTTGGATATGAACAGTATTCCTTAAAACCAGCTCATCCATCTAAGTACAGTGATTTGTCATGGTTAAAGCTAAGTATCTTTATGAAAATAGAAATGAAGATTCAAATAGTATAGAGATCATCATCTGAACTTTAGAAATGAGAGTCAGTGTGTGTGTGTGCTGGGGTTGTATAAGAATTCAGTTTTTGAAGCCTAATGTATTTAGGTAAACCAACAAAAAATCATACAGGTAA